TGGCAATGAGGACATTGCTGGTGGTGGTAGAGTGGAAGATTTGAAAGACCATGCCCTGATGTAGGAGTGCAATTGCTCACCTGTAGGCCCGCTGAAAGGGATACAAATTGAAGGAGATGCATCGGTTTGTGTAATATCTCTGGCACTTGAGAGGTATGGGACAAATAGTAATTAAAGGACTGTGGGATTGGTGGTTACTGCTGATCATCATTAATGCACTAAAGAGAAAACATGACAGGCTTAGGCAATCAATTATCAATTCAAAGCAAACGGTGAAAGACAGAGGCTTCCTTGTCAATGTTAAACAAACAAACAAATACACTAATAAAAAAAAAAAAAATCTCCTATACCCAGAAAGTAACCAAGCTGTAAACCAAAACCAAACTCAAGACTTGTAAAGCAAACTTGTTACATCCAAGTCAGGGCCTGATACAGGTTGGAAAGGACTGAGTGGGATTGAGACGTGGATGGATGTTTCTGGGGAGATGTGTTAGAGAAGCCAGATTCCCCTGAACTTCTAAGGAACCCAGTCTAAGACAGAAATAGAAATGAGCTCAGCTTACAACACACTGAGTAGATGTGTCTACGAGAGTTTCAAATAGAATTAATAATCATCTTGGGCTGCCTGGGTGGCTCAGTTGGTTAAACGTCTGGCTTCGGCTCAGGTCATGATCTTGGGGTCCTGGGATCGAGCCCCACATCGGGCTTCCTGCTCAGTGAAGAGTCTGCTTCTTCCTGTCCCTCTGCTCTTCCCCCCCCCCCCCCCGCTTAAATAAATATAATCTTTAAGAAAAAAGAGAGAGAGATCCGCTGAGTCAAAGACAACTAGGGCAGAGTGGCCAGAGAAAAGCAAGGGAATTCAGAGGAGAACCTAAAAGGAAAGTTGGGGGTGAGGGGGGCCGGGAGGTGAGTAGGGTAAGGTGTGTGTTTTGAAAGGATTAAATAGGGCAAAGTGACCTAATGACCCTGGTGAGGGTCCAGGGGTGGTGGAAGCCCGACTACAGTTACTGAGGACCCAAATCAAGCTAGTAGATTTGTGTAAGTTTTTAAAGGAGTTTGTCTCTAAAGGGGAAGTGAGAGAAAATTGGGAGCTGAAGGGAGACGTTAGGAAAGGTTTGTCAACTTGTCTTTAGGATGGAGAGACTTCAGCATTGTGGGTCAGTGAGACTTGGGACCAGCCTGGCTACCAGTCAGGGGAGGGACATCTCCGAGACATGGGATAAGGCCAGGATTCCAGTCTGAGTCCTGCTCTGCCACCCCCCTCAGGCAGATTATTTTGCCTCTCCAGGCGTCATTTCTATGGTAGCCTACTTCAAAATACTGCTGAGGGTAAGTCAGAAATGCATGTGAAGGCATTCTACCAATAATAACCATTATTTCCAAATAAGAAAGGCAAAGGAAGACACCTCCAAGCTTTTCAAGACCAAGAGTCTGCGAAATAGTTGTGTGGATGACTGAATCGGGGAAATCCTGACAGGAAAAGCTTTGGAGAAGGGACAAGATTGATTCGTGCCAGCTGATACTGAAGTCATGGCGGGACATCAAAAGTGGGAAGACTTAGCAGATATGGGGAGACAGGGACCAGACGCAGGAGAGCAATCGGGGATGGCGAGAGACTGCTGTCGTTCCTCAACCCAGAGGTGAGCATGAGTCAACACCGGGTTGTGTAATGCTCGGCAACGCCACAGAAGAACACCCCTAACTGCTATGCATTCAGCAAGTACTTGGTGTCGGGCCCTTTACCTATGACATCTGCAAGCCCCATGATTATCTACACTTTACAGTTGAGCAAATGGAGGCCAGAAAGGTCCCCCAACTAATAAATGATGCAGCTCAGAGTCAGACACAGACCCTCTGGCTCCCAAACCTACATTCTTTCCACTACCTCATGCTGCTCCCAAGCATGGTGTCTTAGGGGACAAGGGGAAACAGCCCACTGGACAGAGGACTGTTGAGAGGGTGTGACGTATGGAGGTCGAGAAAGGATAGAGTTTCCAGACTGTGGAACTGGCAAGCAGTACCCCAGACTGCAGACAGTAAGGATGAGGGCTGAGAATCACTACTGATTTGGTGAGCAGAGAGTTCTCCGAACAGCAGACAGTGAAGGCTGGGGGGGGGGCCAGGCGGCGTGGCCTGTGTCAGTAAAAACCAAGGTGCCCACGGAGGAGTAGTCCCGCATCCTCCCATGCTCCTGCTCTGGGGCTGGTGGAGAAGCTCCTTCAGGAGGCCTGCTGGCCGCTTCACGTAGCTAATCGGGGAAGTAAAAGCCAAAGTACTCAGCCTCACACAGCTCACGACTTCATTAGGGACACTAGCTTCCAAATGTCACAACCAGAGAACACACTGCCGGACGGGAGCACGTGTCTGCCCCAAGACTCCTCCCATTGCCGTGACTTCTGTCAACTTCTGGGGCGGGGGGATACCCGAGCTCCTGAGAGAGACTAGGCCGGCTCTCCGGGCGGCATCTGTATGTAACCCATGACCTCCCCCACAGCGTGTGCCGCTGGGGGAGAAAACAGGGTACAGGACGGAGCCCTAAGTAGCATCAGCATGTCCAGGATAGGCAGAAACAAGTGGGAAATGACGCTGGGAAAGAGTAGCCAGAGGGAAGGAGGACAGACAAGACTCCAGGTAGGGGAGAGGTGAGCTGAGGCTGAGTCCCTCATTCAAGTGCCTCCTTTGACCCAGAGCCCCGAGGTGCCTCCTCCTCTCTCCACACTTGCCTTGGTGGCTCACAGCTTTCCCAGCCCCTCCAGCAGATTCAGCCTTATTTCCTCCTTCTTGCCTCGTTTTCTGAATTCGCAGGCCAGTGAATGTCGTCCTTAGGAGAGAAACAAGGCTCTGGACTCTTCTCTCCTGTTCTACTTCCGCCCCTCACCGGCTGCAGGTCAAGAGAGGACAAGCAGAATTCCTCTGCAGGACGGCCTGGTGCCCCGGCACCTCTGCCTGAGAAGCTTCCAGCTGCCACCCCCCACCCCCCGCCCCGAAACACCAGCCTTCTCATCAATTCCTCAGGTGAAGAATTCGTCTCTCCTCTGGTTCCTGTCTGAAAACATAAATGCACCTGGACAGGTAACAGAGTTTGTCTCGAACACTCTAGAGCAAATCACTGAGAAGACTTCTTTGGCGTGTCTTAGACTATATACTTTGGGAGCCCCGGACAGCTGGAGTTGGCACGAAGAGATGGTTTAGGGAACAGAAAGGGAAGGTGGAGGGGCTGACGAGAATTGTAGCCCGTTACGCAATTATGTCCTGCATTAACCTCATCCCTGGCTTGGGTTCAGTGGAGTTGTAATAATTCATTTGTAGCCGAGGCTGTAGATGCTCCAGCCATATCCCCTTGGCCTACCTTAGAACTCACCTGAAGAAATTTTCCAAATAACAGCCGGGAAAGTCAGATATGTGGAGAGTTAATGTCCTGCAGAAACAAATGGGGGTCCAGTCGTTCCAAGGGTCACCAGCCTAACTGGCCCCCCGTTGCCCGCAGTAATAATCCCTTCATCAGTGCACCTTTTATTGCTCACCTTTCAGAGTGCTTCTGGGCTCACCTCTGAAAAAAACTACTCACACCCAAATTCTTGTCTCAGATTTTGTTTTGAAAGTCCATATACAATGGACTTTCCCTGTTGTTCCTCACACTGAGGAGGGGAAAAAGCCCACTTGCTTCACAAACAACCCACAGACCAAGAATTTAGACATATACATCAAAATTTTAAATGTCCATATCCTTTGGCCCAGTAATTCTACTTCTAGAAGTTTCACTTAAGAAAACTAACAGATTGTGCGCAAACAATGTATGTGTGAGGATGTTTATTACCATGTAGAAGAGTAAAAATTGGGAAGCAACTTAAATTTCCAGCAGTAGCAACTTGGTTAATCTTATGCTGCCATGAGAAATAATAAATTGGGGCGCCTGAGTGGCTCAGTCAGTTTAGCATCTGCCTTTGGCTCAGGTCATGAGCTCCAGGTCCTGGGATGGAGCCCAGCATGAGGGCTCCCTGCTCAGCAGAGTCGCTTCTCCCTCTCTCCCTTTGCCCCTCACCCCCAAATAGATGGGTAAAATCTCAAAACAAAGAAAAGAAAAAGAAATAATAAATCGATTTTTCTACATCTTCCCATGTCTATGGTAAGTTAAGTGAAAATGCAGGTGACAAAGCATCGGATGCAGCATAATCTACTTTTGTAAATACTACATTCATGTGCGAACGTGTGCAAGGAAGAATCTGGAAGGATGACAACAAAATGTTAACAGTAGTTATCTTTGGGCATAAGAATTGGGAATTGTGGATCATTTTCATTTCCTTCTTTACACCTTTACGAACTGGAAAAAAAAACATATTTTTTTTTCTTTTTACCACGAAAACCACTCTAAAAACTCCCCCCCAAAAAAAAACTGTAAAGAAAAGAAAAGAAAGTAATGGCCTCAGCCACATAGAACTGAATTCCACAGCTAAAACTTGTGAGAAGAGAACAGAAGGGAAGCATCCCACTTAGCGGGAGCCCGAGCTCGGCAGTGGCTGTTCTAAGCGAGTCACAACTACATCTGCTAACCGGCGGCCACGGGAAACCACGGCGTGTCACGTGTGTCATGTGTGGCCCCATCTGACTCCAAGGAAACACGCGCAGCCCCACATCCGTGCTTGGGGTCGCTTGTCGGGCTGGTCGCAGCCCCCTCCCTCTGCAGACCTCCACCCCCTTCCCCCTCCGGCCAAGAGCCCCAGCTGGCACTCAGCAGGTCCCTTTCCAATTTGCTGCACTTTCGGGAGTTCGTTATTCCCACGGGAAGGAGGAAGAACTCGTTGCCATGGCGATGTGAGCCTCCCAACCCTGAGACCTGCCCCGGAGGCCCGATCCTTCCCGGCGCAGCCCCGCCCGGCCTCCCTGGCTCGGACGGCCACGGTGGGCCCGCCCTGCCCTGTGGGAGAAGGGTTTTAGGCTCCAGATTCTTTGGGCTTGAGGGAAGGAGGGCACATTAATTAGGAAGCAAGGTAAGAGGGAAGGGGAAGCAAGAAACATGGATGAGGTTTTCTTTACAAGCCCCTTGGCCACTCGGCCCTTTCCTCCCACCCACCGGGACTCCTCGGTCAAATGCTGTCTCCCTGGTTGTGGAGCATTTGGCTGGGGACGTCGGACACTCTGCTTTCCTCTCCACGTCTTCCAGGAACCCCGGGGCATTTTTTTTTTTTTTTAGTTTCTGGAACGTAGCACACTGGAACGAAGCTTTAACCTCTCCTGCCCCTCCAGCCGGGGACTGAAAAGAAGTAGGGGGAGCGGGAGCGAGCGGGTCGGAGCGACCAGCCGAGCCCTGCGACCGTGGGTGGAAGGGAGGCGACGCTTTCTGCGCCCGGCGCTTCACCGCCCTGCCCGGGCCCGGGGCCACCGCGCCGAGAGCGGCCGGGGTCAGGTAGGAGGCACGCGGCCCGCCGGGACCACCGCGCGTCCCCCGCCCGCCGCCGCCACGCCCAGCGGGAGGTGGCGTGCGGAGCGGGCGCGGGAGAGGGGGGCGGTCACGCGCGCCGCCCGAGGGCTGGGGCCACGCCCCGTCGCCCAGGCCACGCCCACCCCTTAGAGCGCCCGGGCTGCCTAGGTACCTCCCCCGTTGGCAGCGCGGAACGCCCAGACCTGAGCTCTCAGAAAGAACCCTGTCTCCTGTTACTCACCCCAGGGTGGCTGCCCAGGGAAAAGCAAGCATATCGCTCACTGGCCTGCTGGAAACCCTTTCATCTCTGCTCCATCCGCAGCAGCTCTTTGATTAACTGCCACTGGAGCCTCCAACCATGGCCACGCTGTAAATCCCTGGGTGCCCGCCGGCTCAGATCTGGGGCACGTGTACACCCAGGTGCACCCCCTTTCTTCAGCCTTCTTCCCCCTTCCTGCTGCCTCCCTATCTCTGAAGCCTTGGGACTTGTGGTGGCAATGAACCTTGGGTTTTTCCAGGAGTCTTGTTCCTTCCAGCCCCTCTGTGCACCCACCTACTCCAACACCTGACATTTTCCTTCAGCTACACCGTTCCTCCCTTCAGTGTCCACGCCCGCGCCCGCGCAGGCCTCTTCTCTTCCCCTCCGTCAGGCCAGTGAGAAGTTAGCTCACCCAGTGGCGAGAGCACAGGCCGTGGACAGGTGCCCACGCAGCCGAAGAGCAGCAGGCCCATGTGGAAACAGTGCTTTTGACAAGCCGAGGCATCGTATTTCATGAGTGAGCCAAATGTAGAAAGGATTAGCTGTTTCACCCAATAAGCCCACATCTGTAGTTACATTCTGATGGGGATAAAATTACTCTGGTTATTAATCCTTCTGCTTTAGGGTATAAGCTGATCACCAGCTGGGCTCAGGGAAAAAATTCTATCCCGGCTCCTGCCAGGCTCCTCCCCATCCTCACCTGCCCCGCCTTTGTGCTGCGTTGTTGCGCCTTTAGGTCTGTAGACCAAGTTGAAGGCCGCCAATGGAGGCGCCTCTGGGACAGAACAGCTCCAGTCTGTTCTGCAGAGGACGTCCATCCAATCACGTGAGTATGTATTGGGAATCTGCTTTCGGCGAAACCTCGCTGGTCTTCTCTGTGGCAGAAGCAAATATGACTCCTAAACGGCCGTGGCTTTTTCCTGCTGAGGAAAGCTGAAGTGGGCGGTCCGAACCTGCCTGTGGTTTCTGGGACTTTCTGCCCTGAGGCGCCCTGGGTGTCTCCAATGGTCTAGGGGGAATCCATTTTGGGCCAGGCAGGATTTTCTAAGCCAACAAGGAACGGAGCTGTTTCTGTAGCCTTCGCCTCTGTGGCTTCTCCCCTATAGGGAACCAGCACGACAGGGTAGCTTTGTTTCCATCCTGATCCTTTCTTTTTAGACCCCAACTCAGCGGGCACTGGTGACTTCTGGGAGTCTCCTTGTCCCTGGGTGACAGAGGCACCATCGATAATTACATGGAACTTTCCTGAGCAGACCAGGGTGTGTTCGCCTTACGTTTGCAAGGGCCATGCTAGGAAACACGACAGTGGGTTAGCTCCTTCTTGAATCTTTAATCCCTTTTAAGAATTTTAATGGTCATTCTGAGAGAATTTCTGTCTTCTAAAGACATTTCCCTAGGATCACTTTGCTGTAGAGAACTGGCAAACTCCTCCAAAGGAAACTAAAGATTAATATGCATTTTTAAGCCATTCCTGTTTTTAATACTGTTCAGTTCTTATTGCAATGTTGAATGAAATATTCACTTTTAAAATGAAAACAAACAAACAACCCCAGTCCTGGTCCTCTTCTGTGGACACCTACTTCAGCCCTTCCCCTCCCCTCCACTGGTTTGCCCCATTTCCTGAAGCCCCTATATTTCCACTCTCTGACCCTGGATCAGCCCAACTATCTGCTTTTATTGATGCTGTCTATGTCTAGGATGCTGAGATAATAGAGATTGTCATCAGTAATGTTCTTTAAGTGAATAAATCAGGATTGACAACCGTGACACAAATATGCTTCCCACCCTTGCTCAGTTGCTCTTCTGGCTTTCTCCTTCCAAGCCTTCAGTAACCCAAATCTCCATCTACCCCCTAACTCTTGGCAGTGGCCCTAACTTCTCCAAGAACAAAAACCAAAAACAAAATAACTCTCGAACTTTCTAAACTCTCTTCCACCTCCAAACTACGTATATTCATGAACACCCCTCTTCAATAAAAACTGCCCTCCTTTCTGCTCCATCTGTGTGGCCCCTGTGGTTGCTGGCATATACTTACATATGACCTCCTCCTCACAACCTTGCCACAATTTGTTGACCCACAGTTGGGCTCCTAAAGACTTGAGATGGACCAATGAGAACCTTTCTATAGAATTTTGGGTCAGTCCAGTCTGTCTCCTGTGGCTGCAGCTGTCTGTCTTGTATCCCCATCAGACTGAAGAAGCTGAGGACCTACAGGGGATATAAATATGTTCATCTCTGTATCCAAAAACTAAATAATAAAACAAAGACTTTCTTTCATCTCTGTCCCTCCTCCAGTTTCCAGCCCCTTACCTCCTACCTCCATTTTCTTACCTCCTACAATACCCATCTACTGCTACCATCTGGCTCCCTCTCCTCTTCCCTCTGTCAACCTAAATAAAGAGGTAAACTGAGGCAAGCTCAAATCACCAGAAATTGGGTTTATTTGGGAATAACAGAGCAACTGCAATTCAGGAAACGTATGCTGTGGCAGCAACAGGCGAGTCCGTTGAGGGTTTGGGGCAGGCTAGATTTATGGGCAAGTTGTGCAAAGAGGGGGATGTCCAGCCAGTGTCCAAGTAGGAAGTTCATGGGCTTGAAGATGGGGAATGATTCCTGACAGATGTTCATTGGTCAGGAGATAAGTCTTACTCTTCTATAAATCAGGCATTTATAGGAAATCAGTTTCTTGGTTCTTAAATTACATTCTTCTGAGGGCATATGTGTGAGATTCTTTATTCCATATCCTCTGGTTCCATTTTAGATGGAAATCCGTCTCCACCTCTCTCCTTATGTGCAGTGCAGTGTAAACTATGCCCACTTCCTAGCATTCATGCTAGTTGTCTGCAGCATCTGGTATCCACAATCACTGTCTCAATCTTGAATCTTGCACTCCTCTTGATGGTTTTCCTTCTGGTTCTTGCTTAGAAGCTGTACCAGAATCTAAATATACAAAGGATCTACGGCTCTAGGCTTTTCCAAACTTCTTCGCACCTCATAGAAATGCAACTGGCCTGTGCCGGCTCTCCTGGGGACCCCACGAAGTGAGGACTAACTTATCTAATGAAGTCATAGAAGCTAAGGTGTTAACGGGTGAGTTATTTCACTATTTTGATAATAGCTCTCACAGACTTAGCTCAGTGTCTCTCAGACGTGGATTAGAGTGGAAGGAGAAGGTGGAGAGCAAGGATAGGGATGGAAGAGGGTGTTAGGGATATATTATTGAGGGTCTGAGAGTTTTTATGACATTTAAGTTTTGTATTTTCACTTCATGTTAATCAATGCTCGACTGTGCATTTTAATTTACCGTTCCATTGGCATCAAGGGATTGCCAACTTATAGTGCAATGTTTTCAAAGTGGAATGTATTTTCAGAGAATTCCTACTTCTAAAGTGAGTCTCTTTGCTCCTCAGATTGGGAAGTACTGACTCAAGGAGTAAGCTTCCTTGAAATGTGAGTGCTGTCTATGTTCCTAGCAGCACCACAGGGAGAGACAGAAATGTAACACCTGAGTCTTGCCCTCCAAAATTCATAGGCTCATTAGGAAGATGACACTGGAACCCTTAAAAAATGAAATACAAGCACGAAGTCACAATGTGAGACATGTCACAAAGTGGTATGTTATTAAGTGATGTGGACAACACTTTGTACAGAGGTCAGATGCAAGAGAGCTTTCGCTTCGTGGGAATGATCATGGAGCCTTCTTGGTCTGGGGAGGGTCTGGCTGGATGCCGGTCAGGGAACTGAGCAGGGCTATATATAGATGAAAAGTAAGAGTTAAGTAACCAGAGAAGAAAGAGATTCTAGGCATGAAGGAAGTTCACGAAACAACAAAGTCCTGAGCTTGGGATGGAGATCACAGTGGACTGAATGGAGGGTTCTCTTGGGGACAAAGTGGACAATGTGGGTTCCCCTCTATCAAACTGAGTACATACTCAGGACATCAACACAGCAAGGACACCAACAAGTTTTGCTTAAGATTTTGTTCCTTGATATTTTTGAAAAAGTATCCAGAAGTCATTATGAGGAAAATTAGAACAGAGTTGGGCTTCCTTACACTTACATTATGGTTTTTAATAGTGTATATTCACTTCTGTGGAGACAGAGGTGAGACACCACGATCGTATCAGTGCTTGTTCCTCTAAAGGTCTAATTTAGCCTGTTAGGAGAAGATCAAGTTGGGGCCATATTCAAACTTGAATTCCAAGTGAGTCAGTCAGACCCCGCCCGCCTTGCTGTGCAAAGGTCTTCAAGGGCACTGACAACCTCACACTCTCTGGGTCCGGGAGGTTCCACCCCTAGTCTAACACTGGGTTTCAGATCCTTCACTGCACAGTGTACAAGGGCACACACAGAAGGGTTTTCTTTATTTCAGTGATTTATGCTTCTTCATTTTATTGCCATCGTTGATTGGCATTGGTTGGAGGAAATCATATCCTCTTGAATGCAAAGCGTCCCTTGCAGAATATCCCCTAAAACAACTGGTGATGTTTATTGCTCTTATTGACAGTCTGGAGACAATATTGGTGATATTCATACAACTTTTTCATTCCACCAGGTTACCGGGACACCACGTTGTTGTTGTCACCTTCACCCACGTGGTGCTTGGGACAGTGAAGACATGGCATCGTAATGCCTTGAGTCACAGGCATCTGTGAAATGAGTGAATGAGTGAAAAATTAAAGAGGACCCGTGCTAAGAAGAGGCATCCCAACATTGGCATTGGGAAGGCAGCTGGAGCAGACAATGGCGAAGGCCTCCTCCGAGCCTCGGAGCTCTCCTTCCCCGGCACAGGTCAGCGGGGATATTCAGTCCTCCACTTGTCTCTCAGGAGAGAGCCTCTTTCTGTCTTTTCCCTCGAGCTCTCTGAGAAACATCGCACCACCTCTGCAGCAGGGGATCTCTGCCTCTCCAAGCTTCAGCACCATTCTTCCCAATGGCCAACGCAGCTCCCTCAAACTGCGGTCTTAGTGCATCCCTCTGCCCGCTCCTTTGAAGCCAACAGCTCCTGTCAGGGCCAGGGTAGGACTGTGGTGAGAGCCAGCCCAGGGGGAGAGCCCACAGAAGGCCCTGGGGGGGAGGGGGGGAGGCGTGTGCAGAAACACCGCTCAAGGTGATGGGGATCTGCAGGAGTCGGAGAGGGGCCCCAGGGATTCACTCAGCAAGAGTAATTAACATTGAACACAACAGATCTCGGGGCCAGCATCACTGCCCAGAGCATGGCCCCGAATGAAGGTGGATAGCTTCAATTATCTGGGCATCTTGATGAATGGGCATGGCACACGCTCTGGGGAAGATGGGAGGAAACGAGCCACAGATTAATCACTCGTGGCATCACTGAACAGAGGGTGTTTAGAGCCTGCAAGAGCCCTGGGGACAACAGGTTCACAAAAGCAGAGAGGGAAAAGGAAAGCAATCAGGGCACAATTACAAAAAAAAGGGGGAGGAAGCAAATCTAACACCGAGGCTCATCTTTTTTAGACAAATTTGCATAGAGGTAGTGACAATGGAAGTAGCCCTGGTAGGGACTAGGGATGGATAGTGGGGTTCTGTTATAGTAACTGCCTGCCTCCAGTGGGGCCAAGGGCTGGACCCCAAAGGTAACCCCAAACCAGAGAAGGAGGGTCTCAGAAACAAAGGTGGGGGGGGGGAGGAGCAAGACAAGGAGACAAGAACTAATGAGAGCAACACCATGGAGGCTTCCAGAGGAAGATGAGGTAACGTGCCATTCTAGCCTTTCCTAGGACTCCAACAGAGTGCCCCATTAGTGGCGTCTCAGGACATCTCTGCCCCCAAAGTACTATGGGGTAGGTGAGTCAAAATAACGAGAATTATTTTTCCTGGAGAAGTGTTTGGTTGTGTAGGTCCAGCATGTGACATACGTGTATATCATAAATGTTTCTTGAACGAATGAACACAAATAGCTAGCATTAGTTACACTTTTCCTGTGTCAGGCAATATGCTAAGTGCTTTACACAAATAAATTTAATGTAATTCACACAATCTTCCTATGTGGTGTTTTTCAATTCCTCTCTTAGGGATCTTAAAAAAAAAACAAAAACACAAGTCTCAAATAAGTGAAGTAACTTGTTTAGCCAGTAAGTGACTGTGTGTTGGATGCAAGGAAAGAAGAGCAAGGGGGAGGGAGCGGAAAGAGAGAGGGAGGGGGAGAGGGAGAGAAAGGGAGGGAGGGGAGAGAGGGAGAGAGAGAGAGAGGGACGGGGGAGGGAGAGAGAAGGAGCAAGAGAGGAAGGGGGAGGGTAAAAGGAACATCTTAAGAAAGGCTGTGAGAAGTCTCAGAGAATTTCTTTTGAAAATCATTTGACTTAGCAAAAAAGTGCCTGGCACGCAGATCCACTTTAATTCCTCTTTAGTACCTGGTGTTGAGTCCTGTGAAGAGCTGTGAAAACTAGCACAGCCTCATGTGGGACTGAAAGAAAATAAGCCAACAGGGCAGGATTTTAAGTGAACATAGAGAATAGGACTCTTGCAACCCTGGCTCTTCGGGCTCCTGACTCCTGCAGCCTTTGGCCACTGCACGGAGACAGTGGGACAGAAGGTGCTGGTGTGCTCACTGTCCGGCTTGCTGGTTGTTGGGAGACACGACTCTGTGACCCTCATACAAGCAGGTTTTATTCAGAATAAGAACAATAAAAACCACTGAGGGACTGAAGGGAAACATGAATGAGAAAATAAGTCGGATGACCTCACAAATGTGCACCCGACATGATCTGCCTCAGGTGCAGAGCAGCAGGACACAATTTGAACTCTGAGCGCCCTAGCAGCCTAAGCAATGAGGGAAATAATCGACTGCAAGGACCATGGTATCCATGGGACAAAAATAAACTCATGGTTCCGAGGAAGCACGGCTTTTTCTGATGCTGAAAGCTCAGATATATATTTTTTTTATTTCATTTATTTATTTGAGACAGAGAGAGACAGAGAACGAGGAGGGGAGGGGCAGAGGGAGACAGAAACTTTAGCAGACTCTGTGTTCAGCGCAGAGCCCGAGGGGAGGCTCAGTCTCACGACCCCTGAGATCATGACCCTGAGATCACGACCTGAGCCGAAACCAAGAGTCAGACGCTTAATCAACTGAACCACCCAGGCGCCCCTGGAGCCCCAGATCTTTTTGTCTTGGCAGCGCGCACAACAGGGCCCTGCAATGATGATGCAACCAGCAGGTCTCGTGCTTGTGCCTGGACGCCATGCTCACCACTGCAAACCTGCAGCAGCAGCCCCTCAGGGCACGAAGGCCAAGGCGTCTCAGCCCCTGCTGCTGGGACAGCGCCTTCCTTGCTACCGGCTGCGACTGCCGCTTCCTTGGAGCCAAAGCCCTGAGCAAGAGGAGCGGCTGGGGGCTTCAGAAGGCCGCCCAGGGAGCACCTGTCTCGGAAGCCTTGCTCCAGGCAGGTAGCTGCACCTGGCCCACCGCCTGAGTGGCCAAACCCCAGCCCAGGGACAGGAAGGATTCGGTAACCTGGGAGGAAGCCCTGACCGCCAGGGTATAAACCCTCAGGGAACAGGTAGAAAATGCCATGGCAGGACAGCCGCCAGCGAAGGGCTGTCCACTCAGCTCCCTGCGGGAGGCCTGGAGCCCAAAGGTGATCCCTCAGTGGCGGCTCCATGGTCAGATCGTGGCCTGTTTTCCTCGGCTGCTGGACGGGGTCCTACAGACGCTACACGTCAGATGATAACTTGGATTCGATTAACAGGGGCTGAGCCGTTTTTAGGCACCGAGGTCCGCAGGGTGAGCCGCACTCTCCAGCTCAGCGCGTCCCCGCTCTCAACTCCCAGGCTGGCCTGTTTGTCATTCGCCTGCACCGGTTGTCACCTCCCGGGTCGTCTCTCCTGCTGCTCTCGGGAGACACGACTCTGTGACCCTCATACAAGCAGACCCTCATCAGATCTCCCCCTTTCCCGGGCTGGTAAAGACAAGTTGGGCTGCGACTCCTTTGGACGGTCCTCTTCCGATTCAAAACAAGACAAGGCCTAAACAGACCTTTAAAAACAAAAACAAAACAAAACAACACTAGATAGCTGGTACACAAAAATGCAGTCACTTCGCCCCCTTTTACCTTCCCTCCTTCCTTCTTGCCCAAGTATTTTATAAAGTACTTGCAGTGTCGCCTTCCCCAGCACGAGGGGCTCCAAGGGGGACAGAACACAGGCCCTGGGCTCAGGAGCTCACACTCTGCTGAGCAGGTGGGCATTTCCACTCCTGGGCAGGAGGGGCTCGCGCAGGGTGCTGGGGGGCCGAGAGGAAGCCCCCCACCTCCCTGGGGGCCGTGGGAGTATGGAGAGCCGGTGTCGGCTGCCTGAGAAGTCACACGTGAAGAACGTGGAGGCGAAGGCTGATACAGATGCTGAGGTTAATCTGTGTGACAGGCCCTGGCAAGGGGGATGCCGCAGAGGTAACCAGAGGCCTGGGTGGCGGCTCAGGGGTGTGGGCTGGTTCCCAACTGGGCACAATTTTGTCTAGAGACAAAATGTCTGCAGGCATTTTTGGTTGATGCAACTGGGTATGTGCTGAGGGTGGGGAGGGTGCTACCGGCATCTACCAAGAGGCTAGAGATGCTGCTAATCACCCTTCAGTGCACCTGATGCTCCCACAACAGAGAATTAACCGGCTCAGAATGTCCAGAATTGAGAAACCCCTAGCCTAGAGGCATGAGGAGCCACTGAAAGCTCTAGGCCGGTGAAATGATTAGAGATGTGTTCCTAGCTCCCTCGTCTGTACTGACGGAGTTAGGAAACTAATTTTTTTTTTTTTTTAACCGGAATGTAGCTTGGGGATGGCTGTTGGAACCAGGGAGCTGAAGATCTAGAATGGAGGGACCTCCATCCCGAAGGAGAACCCCCAGAGCATCTATTTCTTCATCTGTAAAATGGGGTGTGAGATTTGCTTTATTTATTTTACAAAATTTTTTATTAAATAAATTTTATTTAATAGCCTCCTTGAAGTCAATAGCTTCCTGTGTTGCTGTGATGACCAAATACCATAGTATTTATGGAAGGCTTTGTGAAGTGAAAAGAAATGTGGATGAAAGATATTTTTGTACCATAAGGAGCACCTTTTAACAATTACCCCACTATTGTGTGCTAACTATATTAAAGTAGAAAATATAATGAAGCAAAAATGAGGGCAATAAAGCTCACCCATCATTTCACTATCCAGAAATAACATTTGAACATTCAAGTGTATATTTTTAGCTTCCCAGACTTGTGTGTGTGTCATTTTTTTTTTACAGTAAAAACTGGGATCCTATTTTCCCCACAAATATGCATTACAAATAGCATCCTGTATCAATAAAATGTTTCAAAGAGTGTCCTCTGTTGTGTATTTCAAATTTTCCACATTCACGAGGAAAATTGCTGGGAACTGCAGCTCCTTGTTGAATTTAATTCAATTAAAGCAAAAGGTGGCCCTGAGAAATGCTTGGCTCAGCCAGCCCTACCCGCCCCCAACTCGTGCCCTCACTACTCCTGGGGGGACATTGCCTGGGATCCTGGAGTTTCAGGTAGATGAGAAGCAATAAATACTTCCCATGTGGATGGAAGAGTTGGTCGTACCTTTGTCGTGGGAACTTGGCTTCCTGCTCAGGAATGCAGGGAGGTGGAAGGTGGCCCACCCTGAGAGGCACTTGACGTATTTCAAAAGTGCCACAAATGTCCCCTAAAAACTGTTTCAGCACTCCCAGCCGAGGCCACTTCTCCAAAGCCCAGCCAACTGGGAATGGTGGACCTGTAACTTGCTTTACTCCAACAATTAATCTGTTGACTTAGAAACTATGACATAGTAACCTGTGACACCCCTCCCCCAGAAGGGGCTGAGCAAACCAGAGGATGTGCACTGACTCACCCAAACTCTTTTTTTTTTTTTTTTAGAGAGAGAGAGTGTGTGAGTTAGGGTGGGGGGAGGGGGATGGAGAGGAAGCCCAAGCAGGCTCCAAGCTCAGCGTGGAACCCAACCAAGGGCTGAGATCATGACCTGAGCTGAAATCAAGAGTCAGACACTTACCTGAGTGAGCCACCAGGCCCCCCAACTCACCCACACTCTTACACAGTTTCCCTCGTGGCGAACTGCACAGGGTGGAAAGATGGTGGCCCTTGTCTGTGTGTGGTGCTGGACCAATGTAAGGAATGTGCAACTGGTGGTTCATCTCTCCCAGAGACGAATTCTAACTGTGAAAAAAGCTACATTGCCGAGAAGAGAAAACACAGAAATCACCTAAATGTCCAAAACAAAACATGGGACTATTGTCCCTTGTACATCCATTTCCTGGAATATTAATCTCTCATTTTCACTGATAACTGTTAAGACTATACAACAACATCTAAGATTCTTATGAAAAAAATAAAATACAATAAAATTCTTAGAATATTAAGTGAGAAAAGGAGGGCACAAAATTGTATGAGAATGAAACTACTACTGTGTTTAAATTAGCATTTTCGTATGAAAAAGTGTAAATAGAAATAATCCTCAAATTGTCACAGCTGCTATGTTAAGCGAGATCATGGCGGGATTTTTCTTTCCTTCCCTTTTTTCAAAATGTTCTGAAATGGGGCTATGATTACTTTCATAGTGAGTATGTCTGAGTGCATACATGCCCGGGTGTGCGTGCGTGTGTGAGTAGGATATTTCTGTGCCGCGTTCTTGCTTCACACATTGTAGGAATCGAGGTGGAGGAATGGGAGAAGGGAAGGGACTGTCGGGGCTTAGCAAATGCTCGTCACTTAGTGGGGAAGGTGAGCAGGAGAGTCAAGGAAGGGTCACCTTTGTCCCCAGGTAGCCTGCTTATGTCATGGGGATCATACCTGGGCTGACATCTCCAAGACTGAAATTTTTTTCCCCTCTAGAGATAGCTCTTCCCCAGCTGGGCTCCATGACCCCCAGTAGAAAAACCACTCCAATGTCGCAGACACTGCTGGGACCTACGAGTCCTGATTTCCCATGGCCTTGAGTGTCCAACAGTGTCCCAATCTTTGGCCCCAG